ATTTCCATATACACGACAAACATCCATAATTCAGACTTAGCTGAGTTGATATAGTTCATCTGATTAGTATATATATGTAATAGTGTTTAAACATTTAGATAAGTATATTCTTAACAAAATTGTATTAACTAACATCACAATATCATTGTGTTTTCCATTAATACCATATTTACTTTTCAAAGAATATATGCATCTTGTAGGGATCTCAAAGTTTCAACTTTAAACTTGATAACAATAACCAAAGAATTTTATTAGTTGTTAAATGGAGAAGGGTAGCAAACACATCAATTATTGATTTGTTACTTGCAATTCAAATTCTGAAATCCTAAATCACAATCCTATCTTAAGATTCTTAACAACAAAGAAATCCTAATAAATTTAGAAAGTTAAATCTTTAGGTTTAAACTATTTAGATTTTAAAAGTATGAGGGGTTCCTAGAGACTTAGATACAAAGCTAAGCACATAAATGGGTAAAAGCCAAAAAGAATTTATAATATTTCAAAAGATTATTAGCTCATTTAATTAGTAAGAAATCACATTATTAACATGAAGATTGTGGCCTTGTATTTCAACTCTTACACCAAGGCTTAGCACTTAGTCTTTATTTATTTGCACTAGTAATGGATGAATTGACTAAACAGATTCAGGAAGTCCCATGGGGCTTGTTGTTTGCTAATGATACAGTCTTAACAGATGAAACATGTTAGTACTTAGTAACAAAAGGTTTTAAAATAAGTAGTACTAAAACAAAAAATATGCCAGTACTTAAGGAGATGAAAATAGTCTTATTCTTACACGTAAATAGGTATATTTTAATTATTGAATCAATTAAAATATTTTTTATAATTAATGAATCGATCCTTATTGCTGATCAAAAAATAAATAAACAGGTTGCAAGCAAGCTTTAACATTAAGATTGGAAAACAAAGGTTAGTTGAGTTATCTATATACACAAGGAAAAAGTTATGGTACTTTTAGGAGTACTATACTTATGTTACACCAAGGATCAAAATATTTATGCTGACCAATACCCAAAATTGGATAGTGTTGTATCAATACAGACCAATACTCAACCTCTTTTTTATTATTTAAACAGACTGAGAGGGATCAGGGAAGCCTTCCCAAGCTATGAAAACCCTCATACCCCTCTTTGTCGATGTATCCATGGGTCTCCATGGCCTTGGATATGGGCATATTGTATCAACATTTTGGTCTTTGTGTTACATTAGAAAATTTGTGCCTTTAAACTTAAAATTATATTTACATATATGCACACATCCATGGCTGCATATTTGAACACATAAATACTTATAAACATAAGAACATACATATTTGTCCAATGTTTATATATAAATAATTGTTTGAAACAAATATTAATATATATAAATATGAAGACTTGTCAAGATTGGATTGGGTCAGGTTCGCCAAGCCTCAACCCTAACTTAACTTGAAGCTAATTCAGGTTCATATTTTTCAACTCTAACCCTAATCTAAACTTCAACTGACCCAGCCCAACCCAACTTTTTCTGGTGTGGTTCAGGCTAACATGGACAAAGATGCACCTTTACCCAGAATTGTAAGCAAGTGACTGAAGCCCAACAAGGCTGCACCCATTTGACCAAAAGACAAACATTCTGCCTGAGAAAATTGTGGACAATAATTATAGATAAGTAAATGAGGTGGAAAATTAAGAACTACCAACTCATCAGTACTTGAACCAGAAGCCTAAAGCCCCTTTAAAATTTGGTCAACTACCTATACTGCCTAGTGGCACAGGTTGATATGTCTGTTAGTATAGTTTCTACCTGTGGTATATGCGACCAAATTGATTAAGAAAACAGCTTATAGGACAACCATATATACTTCAACTTTGAGAACACAAAGTTTTTGGTTCATTAGTTTGAACTTAAGAGTGCAGAAGGTGAAAAGATAAGCACTTACATAAACTACAAATAAATAAGAAAAGTAGAAAATTACATCCAATTCGGGTTGCTTTTCTTTAGATGGAATATCAGAAGGAACCTGAACAATTTCGAGAAAAAAAAATGGAAGATGAGTTCAAAGGAATATTAGATATAAAAACAAAAATATCACAATTTTCACTTCTAAAAATATTTTACATCTAACCTGGTTTAAATTTTGTAGTTTCCCTTTAGCTAAAAGAATCAGTGATAGAAGAAAAAGCATGACAAGGTGCAAACAAAAGCACAAGCTAGTCATGTCAAACTTGGGAAGACAGACATGTGGGTGGAAATCCTAAACATGCTGAACCAGTTACACCACCAACCAATAGATACACTGCACTGGAATATCAGGCTACTAGAGATGCTAGTCTTGTTGGAGAACTAGATTAAACTGATTGAGGCAACCGGGTTACAGATAACTGATGTCCTACAAGCCTCGTGTGAGTTGTGACCAGTTTATTTGTGATTATTTCTTATTCTCGAGATATTTTTTAAGAAATAATTCAAAACAAGTGGCAAACACCTATACTACAACCATTAAGAAGCCTGTTGCTTATGATCAAATGTGCCTTAATAATACTACTACATTTATAGGATCATCCTCTTAATCCTTTTGATCCATAGGTTAAACCAAATTGATGAGGCACAACTGTTTTGAATTTATCACTGAAACAATTTTAAAAATTACGATGTTGACCTAACCCACCTATTTTGTATTTTACACAAAACTTCATGCTGGTTAACCAACCTATCTAAGATCTAGATCCACTTTGAATTACACATCATTCATTCCATCCTAAACCTATTTCTAGAAAAGAACTCCAAGCTAACCCAGGTTACCAAACTAAACACAATATCAATCTAGTTTTGGTTTGTTTTGCTTTGTACAACTCCCAAGCCAGTTAAGCTCTGATGACAATTAGGTAAAGCCATGAAATCTGCCACGATAATGTTTCATGTAATGCATTCTGACAATCCAATAGAGTGATTAATCAAAATATACAGAACTGTTTTTGTTTTTTGAGAAAAGGTAATGTATTATATTAAACTGAACAAAATATACAAAGTCCTGATAAAAAAGGATTTGCACAGGGGAAAACATTTTGAAGCTGATTACACTAAAAGATCTAGATACAATTATACAAAAAGATTCCTGATATAAAAAACAGAACTAAAAGGTATATCCTCTAGTTGTCTATGAATTTCTGCCCAGGAGTAAATTATGCCCCATAAGCCTTTTAAAATTGTATCTACTGTGTTGTGTTTATTTTCAAAAAGTTGCTAAGGTATATCCTCTAGCTGTCTATGAACTACTGCAAGATCTAAAGTTGGGCCACTTCCAATAGATTGGTCATAGAGGATAATATCTTCTTGCTTAGCACTGTAACTCTTTTCAAGGTATTTATAGGCAGCTTCTATATCTGCATAGGTATTCTAATCACTTGGCTACAGAGCATAAAACACTTAATCAGAGGTTTTCCTCAGATAATGTCAATTTACATCAAACATACTACAGAAATATATTTTTTTTTTTTCATTTTCTTCCAATGAGAAAGAATGAAGAGATTCTTTTAAAGAAAAATTAAACCTGAAATTAACCTTCCCAGATGATTGTCCACACCCAGAATAGTCATATCTGCATAAAATTGGAAATGCATTAGAAAACTTCAAAATTCCTCATGGTTCAAGATCCAAAAACAAATTACTGACATGAGGTTAGATTCGTGCAAGATTGGAACCATACCAACAAACGTGGGTTATGGTTGTTAAATGTAATGAAATCTGACTTCAAAATAGCACCTTCACATCAAGTAGCAGACCCCTCATTGAATCAAAACCCATTTTTATATGTAGATAGAAGAATCTAGCTGATTCCCTTGTAACAAATTGGGTTATAAATCCTAACCGTGTAAAACAATCTAGGTCAATGAATTAATTGGCCATATTATGTTGTTTATTCATTCTATCCATGCTTTTCAAGTGGAATATGAATCTGTTGAAATTTGGATTCCCTGTGCATAAACAAGTGGGCTAATGCATAAACAAGATTGTTCATTTTGTCTCTAGTCTCTACAAACTACAATGCCTTTTTTTTATCAGCCCAAAATTTAGGCAGGCTTTTTTTTTATCTACAAACTACAATCCTGTTTCTATCTCTTCCCATTCAGCAAAAAATTCATGCCACCAAATATGTGTATAACCTCTTTAACACCCTTTGGCAGCTTCCAATAGACACCTGCTTTTCAAAAGATTTCTTCAAACTCCAAGATTTTCAGATAGTGACATGCTAGACACCCATGAACACCTGGATAAACCTACATACTTCAAAATGAGCAGCATAGTGGGATTGGATTTATTCATTGTCTTCAAATCACAAAAGTTTCATGGAAGCATGATACCTGAACAATTTAACTGTTCAAATTGTGTTTATCTCCTTGTGGTATATGTAGATGATCCATGTTTTTATGTTTTCATTCGATGACTAGAAATGAGGGCACCACATGATTTTGAATGACGCAAAAGGTTTGTTGTGGTCATATCTGTCATCCTTAGAGTCTACCTCACTATTGTTATGATGGCATGTCACACATTATGTGAGAGCCCAGAGCATAGGGAGGTTAGAAGCATAGGTTTATGAAAAGCATATTTAATAGTGAGAAGTCATGCCTCTCACAAATTAGGATGCTGAGGGGATGCTTTGATTCACTATGCAATTTACTCAGGTTGCATTGAGACCTCAAACCATGCCCCAATTTAAATGTAGAAGAACAAGTAGCAATGTTCCTTCACACAATTGGCCACAATGTAAGGAATAGTACATTCCATGTAAGATTTGGAAGATCGCAAGAGGCAGGGTTGAGGTCATACCCCATGTTGGTTGTACAACCTATTGGAGAGCACATACCCCAGAAATCAGAAATGACCCTCAATTCATGTCATACTTTAAGGTATGTTCAAAGAATGTATATTGATATCAGTTGAACTTCGCCATTCAGTCCATGACCCAATGTGATATAATTTTAGTTGAAGTGTAGGACTGCATAGGTGCTATTGGTGGAACACATATCCCATGCAAGGTTCCTATTGAGGAACAAGCTAGATTCAGTGGAAGGAAGGGGAAAACCACCCAAAATGTGTTGGCTACTATCACCTTTGATTTAAAATTCACCTATGTCTTGGTTGGTTGGGAGGGATCATCCACAGATGTGATAGTCCTATATGATTCTCTACGAAGGAAGGATAAACTCAATGTACCCGAAGGTAATATGCATAAGAAGTTTCTCAACACTTCTTAAATTCCCTCATTTGGTTCATGAATTTGATCTAATTTTCTTTTACTAATCTACATGTAGGAAAGTATTACCTCATAGATGCAAGCTATAGAAACATGCCTAGATTCTTAGCTCATTATCGAGGCACAAGGTACCACCTCAATGAGATTCGAAGTCGGTTACCAGAATCATCAAGAGAAATATTCAACCATAGGCATTTCTCATTGAGAAATGTAGTAGAATGTGGTTTTGGTGTATTGAAAAAGTGATGGGCCATTCTTGATGCCACCCAACACTTCGACTTCATTACACAAGTCAAAATTGTCCTTGCATGTTGTGCCCTCCATAACCACATAATGGGAGTTGATCCAAATGATGCATGGACCCGATTCGTAATTCGAGAGGCGGACTCACATAGGGCTGAGACCGAGGTTGAGGTTAAGGATGATATGCTAGTGGGGGACAACCTAACTCAACGACTCCAAAGGAATGAACTTACAAGGTGGTCATCCTTCAAAGATCAACTTGGCTTGGAAATGTTTAAGGATTGGTAAAGATCCCGATGTTGAGTTTAATGAGTGTATTAGTTTTTTATAATTAAAGCTATGCCTTTATGATTATTGCTAATTTAATGCTCTCTTTGACTAAATGTTGATTCATCTATTTTTTGAATAGTTGATTTTTAGTTTGGTACTATGGCTAATGTGGCAAACATCATCTTTATGCTTTTATTACTAGTAAGAAATGGTCATCATCTTAATTTTTATTGTTGTTATAATCATTATTATTAGCAAATAATTTTCACTTTAATATAAGGTTGATTTATTAAACATTTTACATTTATTTCATGGGATGAAATTGGTTATTAGGAATGGTGTCAGGGAAGGACACTAGAGATTCGTCTGCTAGTCATCTAGCAGATCGACAGTCTGAAAAGAAGGCATTGCCAATATCATGTCCAGTCATATCAAAAGCAGAGCGTGGTTGGCAGGTTTGATGGAATGATGCAATGGATAAGGCCATGATAGCGCTCTTAGCCGAACAAGTTTCCCTTGGCAACAAGGTAGATAAAGGCTTTAAAACATCTGCATACACCCATGTATGCAAGGAAATGACTGATAGGTTTGGGATAGAACTGAAAACTCCCAACATTAAAAGTAAGATGCACACACTAAAACCCATTTACTTGGAATAAAAAAAATTACTTGTTATATCTGGTTTGGATGGAATGAAGCAAGAAACCAAATACAAGCTGACACACAAGTTTGGTAGGAGTACTTGCAAGCAAACCAATGCATTGAGTATTATACTAACTTGTAATGTTATTATTACAAATGACAAGAAATCCCCAACTATAAAAATTTGGCTTATTGAGTGCAGGCTAACCCACTTGCACACTGTGTGAAAGGACGAGTTGATGGAAATGTATGATGAGATACAATTGGTACTTGGGATGATCAACCTAATGGAGATTATGCAATGATAGGAGTTGAGCTAGAAGAAGAGGGGGGTTTGGGTTATAGTGTTGGGGGGGATTCCTTTGATGTTGACGATGATGCTGAGGATGGTGATGCATCCACCCTTATTGCATGCACTGTAAATATCAATGATGACGATGGTAAATCCCATACCAATGTCTCTCCTACAAGTTTCTCATCATCAGGGGCAAAGAAGAGAGCATATGGTACAAAGAATAAATCATTTGAATATTTCGTTGAAGCAATGGACCGAATGAATGAAGGTATTAAACAACTTATAGCAGTCATGACAATGCAAAGTAAAGAGGAGTTTCTTAGCAAATTGTGGACAGAAGTGATGGACTTGGAAGGGTTTGATATCCATGTCCTAGATGCAGTATTCAGGTATCTAGGTGGAAATGAAAGTGAGGCTAACCTATTTCTTGCTAGGCAAAAGCCGTCCCGAGCCCATATGGTATACAACATCTTATCAAAATTACCCAGATTTTGGATGTGTTAGACATACTTTAAGCTTTCTAGACTCTAGGATTAACATCATTACTATCTGATCAACATTCACAAACTATGGTTTATGTCATTTTTTTTCTATAGTTCACACTCATGACATATTTTGATCCTTTATTTGAATTAGAAACATGTTTTGTTGAATGTGAACTTAACTAGCAATTGGTTCTACATAGCTCTAATGCTTATTGCTCTATATGCAAATTCACATACTTTAGTTGATACAACATTTATGATATGGTTACATATGTTTTTTTCCTTTTCTTTATTTTATTTTGTTGATGAAACAAATAGTTAATCAGGTTTTGGATAGGAATAGATTAATGGAGAGGGCTGGTTTGAGGGTTTGGACAAGTCCACTGAAAAAAAAAAGGAAAATAGAATGAAACAAAACAAAATCTTATTAACTTCTCTCTAACTTTCTTACACTCTCAATTTGTTATTTGAATTATATGAATTAACTTCTCTCCAACTCTAGTAGGATAGTATTTAGGCTTTTTAATTGGGTTTAACCCAATAAAATGGCACAATCCATGTTAGAAATCGAGCCAAACTATAATTTCTGGTTTGGTATGAGATACTCTTCAAGCCAAACCAAATCAAACTATGAATAGTGAATACCCCTAAAATGAATGCCTCTTCTTTTTTGAGAGCTGGATATCTCATCTTTGTTTTCTTTTATATCTACTATTAATATCACTTCAATCAGTCTAGAAATAGTGTGTTTGAATCAGGAATTTTATTTGAATCCACCTCACCGTCAGGTATTCATGTCAGATTAGCTACAGGTTTTTCCTTCCTTTAAGAGTAGTATGCTTTTGAATTATAATGGTGAAAGATGTGCATAGATATAAACTTTTCTTTCTTTTGCAAAATGATTTAACACCTTCCCATTGTAACTTAGGCATCCATTAGAATTGGGGTTTAGTTTTGAACCAGCTGATTGAACCAGCTAAGACCTGATCCCTTTAATAGCCTAGGCACCTATAAATTGTTGGGAAAATAAATGTTCTACAAAGGAAATCTAACATACATTTTGGAATGTCAGCTACAAAAGGGAGTTTGGGGGATATTAAATGTCGCTCAGTGACCTCATTAGTTGTATCTTTTTCTTCAAATTGGCCAGTATTGTAATTATCCAATCATTTGACCACTTGGCTCTGTTTTTCTTGCAAAAAAATTTGTTGATATCTTGTTCTACTTGGGTAGTTTTGGTAGGAAAATAGATACTTTTTGTTATCTCCCTATCAGCCTGATTGGAATTTAAGTCATCCTGCACCCATATTTTCCTTGGACTTCTTATTCACTATGTCATTAATTGGAGACTCCTCTACTCCACTCCCTCAAGCTGATTGAAGACTGAAGTGGTATCCATACTCTTGGTTTGCAATACAATTAATTCCAACCCATTTGGTTTGTCCATATAAACTAACTCTTTCATTGTTATTAATTATCAATTACTTTAAGCTAAGCCTCGCTTCTATTGTTCGATTTCATAGTCATTCTCATGAACACCTCTCAACTCTTCACTTTTAACTCAAAGTGCACCAGTCTTTGGCTGCCTTCCTCTAATCAGCCTACCAGAGTCTTGGATTCTCCTTCCACTAGTATGTTTCTCATGTTTAGCCCCTGATACTTTGCAAACGGGACTTGGTTATAGGCAACATCAAACAACACGGTCTGATACTCTGATTAAATGTGTTCCAGATATGCACTTGGCTAATTCCCAACCGAGACCTCACAAAATATGATACAGGAACGGGAGGGTTTAACTGGATTGTGACTTAGGGATGCTTCCACTAAGATTGTTGACTCAAAATCCTGTTGTTTTAAGTATCTTTTATGAATTAAGAATTTAAGATGTATTTAGGCTATATTGGTTAAATTCTGTTGCAAAGTCATTGTTCGAAGAGTGAGTTTTACCTTGAAAGGATTCCTTATTAGAATGAATTTTGGGTGTTGAATTTTAGTGGATTTAAGCCATTTTCTATGGAATTTCAATGAATTTTAGTACATTTTTATGTGGAATTTCAATGAATTTTTATGTGAAATTTCAGTGAATTTTTTCTGTGGAATTTCAATGAATTTCAGTGATATTCAAGTTGGGATATAAGCTGGTCATTGAGCGACACAGGTCATTGGGCCAATGACCAGCTTAATATTTATTAAATGAGAATAAATATTAGGTAAGGGAAGCCTTACTCCTAGATCAGATGTTTACCTCAGACAGCATGTAACTAGTCAAAAGGTCATTTCGTTCCATAGACACACATGTTGGGAGTTAAAAGTAGGTATTGATGCAACATTGGCTCATTGTGGGCTTCATGTGAGAAAGGCAGGTACTTAAACCAACGGTAAATTAACTTTTTACATCAATTAAGTTTCCAAATGGCAGCAAAAGCACACCGATTGTTTTGTATCTTGGGGTGCATTTGGTTGCAATGCAAATGCAAATATGTATACTACATATTTACCCATTTTTTGGTTCATGAATGCAAATACAATTCATATTTTAAACCGTTTTTGCATTCATTTTATTTGTTTGAAATCGGTGCAAAGTGTCGGCCCATCATTAAATGCTCCAATGCCTTAACTTTGGTACAGTAATGCTCTCTTCTCAGAATATAAAAGTGTCAATATATTTTTGCACTGATAATCATTTTTTACGTATCAAACAAATGCTCGCAAACACAAATCGGGGTACATAAATACTCCCATTTGACGTTTGTATCACAAACAAACAGAGCCTTGGTGTCAAACATGAAGAGAGTAAATCAAACATGTAAAACCAAACTGGTTTGCATTTTTCAAAACCGATGAAATGTGAATTTACACCCTACAATTTTGTATTTTTACCCCCTTTCAAACGCAGCCTAATGGTCATCCAGGGAGAGAAGAGACGCCTTAGAGGGTAATGAGACTTATTGAGGAATGTTACGAAGAGTGCAGCCGAAAGGTCCAAAACAACCTTAACATTTTGTATAATCATGACGTTTCGTGAAGCTAACTTTGCAGCGGAACCTTTCACTAATAAGTCATTGTTTTGCCCTCTGAAAATAGTAAAATTATCTTCTAACCCATCATTCTTTATTTTAAAAGTACACAACACTATTTTGTAAAAAATAAACACAAAATTAACCAAATTTATCTAAATAAAGTGGTTTCAGACAAAAATAATATTTTTATTTTCTTTTAATTAAATTTATTAAAATGGACATTATATCATCAAAACTTTTTAACGTCTACTTTTAAATCTTCTTTTATCAGACGCATTTGGTGGGTGATGGCAGCGATGCATAAGCTAATGTCCAGAAGACTGAAGACAATCCCTTTATTCCCTACTTTCCACCCCATCGTGCTTTTCTAAAGCCTGTCCACCAATCTAGAGCTAACGCGAATGGCCTTGTAATGATGGTATTAAAGTCAAGCCTACTCGGACGACCGTTGTAGAGCTTTTTCCAGAATCTAAAGTGAGCAAACAAAAGCAGCTGATCAATGCTTTTAGGGAATGAAAAGCCAGCGTGTGGTTGCACCATAAAAAGGAGGATTGTCTACTGCTTTTTCAACAACTGATAGTCCTTCAACTCCATAGCCGTTGCTTGATAGCAGTAAATATAGCCGTTGTGAGCTGATAGTAATGGGTTTTGGACAGCTATAATAGCCAGATTCAGAGATACATCGTTTTCAAATGGAAACAGCGACCTACGTAATATTATTACAGATTAATTAAAATTTTAGAAAAGAAAATCGGACCGAAGAACAAAATAGTAAAACCCCAGATAAGGAGTTAATTTAGCTAAATTATAAAAACAAGAAAAAAGAAAAGAAAACCATCTTCTCGTTTCTTAATCATCCTGAAAGGGTCACGCTTGGATACTTGCAAGATCCATGACCTACAGAGAAATCGCAATAAAAATAAAAATATCAGAAAAGTCTGAAGGAATTTTGATATGGTGAAGCAAGAAATATAGTACTTTGGTACTTGGAAATATCAAACCGTTAGATTCCGATCTAACGGTTTACGAGGATATATCAAAATCTCATGACGTAGCTTACCTGGGTCCTTGGTTGTTTGAACTGCGAGTCCGTTGAAGTAGCAGGTCCCACCAAACTTTCGAAACTGGGCCCAGTAAGAACTAAAAGCGTAACTCGCGTGCCGAACCAGGGATACCGGTTCGTAGCAGTCGCTCCCGGGCCGGATCTCTTCGCACGTACCGTTGCCTTGACCACACGCGTACTTTATCGCCGACCCCAACGCAGTCCGATTCGCTCCTCTCGCCACCACGCACCATATCTTCCCCTTGTACGGTTCATTGTTCAACGGCGCCGGCAACGGTTTGTAGTCGAATTCCGGCCGTTTTCCGGTCAAATCGACCTCATAAACCGAGGTTCCGTCCGGATTCAGCAATCCCCAGTGCCGTTCAGTTCCCGGTCCACCCTTCTGGTTCTCGTTGTACAACGCGAAAATGAATGTCGGTATTACTACACCTGGTCTGGCCGGAGTTCCGATTGCTGGTTTGGACGTCATTCTCCGGATTAGATTCCGGTTATATGTAGCTGCGTTGAAGATGTTCGCTCCGATTTGGTCGACGTCTCCGGCATTGGGCCACCCTGTTTCAGCGATTACCAGCCGAACGTTCGGGAACCCAAGTTTGGTCATGGCGAAGATAACCGAGTCTAGCATCTGGTCGAGGAGGTTGGTGTAGGTTAAGCCGCTTCGCGGGTCGGTGTAGGTTTGGTTCCCTTTGAAAAGTGCATAGTCGAGATTAATGTTTGTGGTATCGCCGGACCAGGGGAAGTAAGGGTAGGCGTCGAGGAAGAAATAGGATTTGGTCCGGTTCAAGAACTGTAACAGGGGCTTCATCACCGGTATGGAGATATCGGACCGAAACGTTCCGTTCGACGGTGGGAAGGACGATTGAAGGACATCCATGGCAGCTGTAGTCCCAATTTTGATGTTTCTGATGCTATGGATTTTGAGGGAATACTTGAGTCGGCGCATTGCTTGGACGAGATCGTACCATGTTTGGCGATCTTGGTCGGAGTAGAAGCTGAAGATTTCATTGCCGACAAGGAGGTAACGAATCAAGGTTTTGGGGTAGAAAGGAACGACATTGGTTCGAACCCATTCGTTTGCGAGGGACTGGCTCGAAGAAATGTTGGAGATTAATTGATTGGGAACCATGATTGATACATGGATGTTGGTCCCTTCGAGGGCCTTCAGAATATCTGGGTTTGCATCGTAGAGTTTGACGCGACCTGCTTTCAGGGATTTGATGAGCTCGATGGATCGAGACGGTGAAGGGAGGTTGTTGCCCAGCTGACCATAGTTGACACCCATCTTCTTCGAAATCTCTGCATCTGTTAAAAGAAAAACGAAAAGGGGTTAGAGAGGAAGCATAGAGAAACAAAACCCGTGTTCTAGTTTCATCAGAAACTTACTGGTGCAAGCTAGAAGACAGAGGAAGAACAGAGGAAAAAGGGTCGTCGCCATTACTCTGTTTCCAGAGTACTGTTCTTTTCTCTTCTACACAGTGCTCTGTATATACTCGCCAGTGATTAGAAGAGAGTCTTCTTCGTGGGAGGGATTTGATGTTGAAGAGATTGGAAAGCAATGGTGGACTCACAATCTTTGTCGGTGTGATTGTGCTTATAAAAGGGGAGAAGAGAGAAGAACAGAATCCAAGAATCAAAAAGCGCGTGTATATAAGAAATCAGAGAGTATACATAATAAAGGGAGATCGTGAACTACCAGAGAGAGATGAGAGCTTCAGGGTCAAGGGTTTGTTTAAGCTGTGTACAGCATACGCAAGATACATTTATTTACTGTACTCGAAAGAAAGATTGGGTTCTACCCAAAAAAAGAAGAAAAAGATCAGAGGAGCTAGTGGAGACTACTGCTCACATATGGACAAAATAATAAAAAACATGGTGGGCCCCAATGGGTTCGGTTTTCTTCATCATCTTCTCTAGAAAGTGAAAAAAAGACGGAAATCAATCGGGTGATAGGAGATAAGAGATTGCAGATTTCCAAACGATGAACAAGAGACAGGTGGGAAAGAAAAAGGAGCAGAGAGCTCACCCAGATGCTTCCACATCTCTACCCGGGACATGACAACTGCGCATTGCGTCATAATTTATGGGTAGATGTTCCCATTACACGGTGATGGTGCTTGGTGGGTATGAATGTGAGTATATCTTGTGGGTAGCACATCTCGAGTCGAAAAAGAAAGAATAGAGAGAGATGGGGCTACCGTATGAATCGTTTCCGCGCAAGTCTCAAAGGTTCTTCAATTAGGAGATGGGGTTCCTAAAAGGTACTTTTGAAGATTCCTCTTAGATTATAAACTTCGAGCTCCTTTTAGTTATGGGTTCAACTATGGTATGGAAAAGATATGATATCTGAAAAATTTTTGATCAGTCAATTGAAATCATAAAAGTAGTAGCGAATCATGTGTCATTTATCAAAATTCATAATTGGTCAAAATTCTTTCCATATTATATCTTTTGGGCATCATAGATTTTTCTTTAGCTATAAGCATAAAACAAAAAACCTAGTTGGTTTCCATTTTCGAAGGAAAATGGGATTAACTTCTGATGTGGCAATAATTAACCATATAATGATCTAATCACTATTGAACACATGGCACATCGGGGGCAACATCGTCATTCTACATGCCTGGAGTATAGCCCTAGCATTTCATCCCAGCATTTATGGCGAGCTATATTAATACGGACATTACAACCTTGGTTGAGCCCTCTCGCTCATAGTAATACTCAACAACGGAGACATTTAGAAGTATAAATCAGGCCATACTGACTATGGGCCGATACGATTTTGAGCTGGTCTGGTATGACAGATTGCGGGTTGTGCTAATCATAATACGATTATATGGGCCGTGTTGGGCTTGAAATTTTAGGTCCATGAGCCAGTACGTTATGGTATGATCAAGCAGGCCATGTTATCCATGGCTTATGTGCTGGCATGACCCATCACAGCTCATAGATATATTTATATATATTTTATATGTATAATATATAATATTTATATATACTATATTATATTATATATATTAATATATATAATTTTATTTTCAATTTTATTATATTATTGTATATATATAAATAATTGTATACATCAAAATTCATATAAAAATAAAAATTTAAGATATTTTCTAATTTTTTGTATATGTTTTTTAATTTATGTTAAAATTTTCATTATTTTTTCAAAAATTTTAAAAAGCATGGCTTGGCCTGGTCTTCAGCTTGGCCTAGCCCAAGGCTCAACCCACGAACCAGCCTAGCCTGTGGCACGGCATGGGCCCACATGAGTTCAGGTCGTGGGCTGTGTTGGGCCAACCCCCCAAAATATCTTAGGGGAGGGAAGCATAGCCCAACTCGGCTCGTAGGTCAACACAGCACGGCCTGCACTTTGCACTGGCCACATACGGGCTGTGTTAATCATGTCGTACTGGCCTAACACGACCCGATTTACACCTCTTCAGGACACTAATGGTTTCAACCTTTATTATGCTTCGACGTGACCAGAGTAACACTCAACCACGTGGACACTAATGGTTTCGACCTACATTATGCTCTTACATGAGAAGCTGTTACAATTTACAAAGAGCCCATAACATAGCCATTAAGAAGTCCTCACCTATAAATAAGGGCCACGAGCTATAAGCAACTCTCTTATGTACTCTTGATTCCTTTACTACTCTTGCTCTCCCTTCACCTTGGCACCTCGACTCTCCGTGACCACAGTTAACTTAATCATCGGAGTCTCGCCCCATGGGATTACACCCCAAGGTCTTTGGTGTTTTTTTGTGTTGATAGGTTGAACCTTCTGCCAACCTACCTCAAAAATTCCAGGACTACCCTCAATACAATTTTTAGCAGCATCAATTGGCATTGGCTGTGGGAATGAATGCAATCAAATTACCCTCACCTATAAATAAGCACCACAAGTGGCCTCCCTCACCAATCATGTACGTAATTTATAGCAACCAATGGAGGGTAGCCTTAATATGGTCAACCCGTTGACACTAATGAGTGCCATAGTAGGGGGCCAGTCAACCCTCCTTCTCTAAGCCAACACTTTAGAAGTCGTACTAAGGATGACCTCTTTGAGGCTGATAGTAGTAGCCACCTAGGGAGCCACCAATGCTCCCACACACAAACTGCCTGCCGTGTTGGTCATTCTACCCCCAAACAACAAAGAAACACAAGTGGAAATAAGGAATTAGCCATCCCTAGTTGTTGGAACTTGCACAAACACCTTAACAACTACCACACTCAAAGAGGGGGTGTTCCTGTCACATTTGGACACTCCTTAAATCACCCAAATCTTTCATAGATCAGGAGCACTCATGACTGACGTCCCCACTAAGAGACTAAGATCAAAGAAGGCTGAGAGAATGCCTCCACCAACTATCAGTAAGTAAGATAGAAACTTTCATTTAAGAAATACTATTGAAGTCTCTTCCCTTGAACTTCAGTGCTCATAACAGAGACTTATGACAGAATCATTGACCCGAAAGACCATATAGAAAGTTTCCATGCTATCATGCTCCTTCAGGAATTCCTTGACACATTGATGAGTCAGGCCTTTCAGGCCACACTTAAGAAGGCTGCTCGATGATGGTTCATAAGTCCCCCACCTCGACTCATCACCTTCTCGAAATAATTTATAGATCTCTTCCTTTCCCATTTTGTGAGTAGCTGACTCTACTAGAAGACCTCGGCCACGCTTAGGGCAATAAAGCAAAAACTCAAGAAACCACTCAGGGACTATATATAGTGCTTCAACGTTGAATCCTAGTTGACAATGAATAGCCAAATAGGAAAAGGAAGGACAGAGACAAGTTGAGGACCAATGGCTCACATAACAAGAAGTATAAGCTTACACTTCACTCAACATTACCTGAAGCTACATGCTCATGTAAGTAGGGAAGTAGGAGTTCATGCAATGGCCCTCCAAGATAAAGAAGAACCCCCAAAAGGGGAACAAGATAAATATTGCAACTACCACCGTGGCATGAACCATAATACAAACGAATGTTGCAAGTTAAAAAATGAAATTGAAACCCTCAACAAAAAGGGGTAACTAAACAACTTCATCCTGAAGGATCAACCAGTAAGGTCAGCCTTAGAGCAAGTTGACCCCCAATAAATAGACCATTGGCCAAAGTCATTAATGTTCTCCAGTGGAACAATAGTAGGTGGATAGAGTTTGTCCATCAGAAAGGCCTATGCCCAACAACTTCAAATCGGGCACAAGCCTTAGAAGAAAGCCAAGGTGGAGAGTATTATCACCTTCTCCAATGATGACTTGTAGGGTTGTCACCCCCACGATGACGCATTGGTAGTCTCCCTCATAATTGCTAACTATGTGGTAAAAAGGATTCTTGTGGATAATGACTCCTCAATAGATATCCTCTTCTACGACACCTTTGAGAAGATGAGGTTGACCCGGTATTGACTTTAGCCTACTAACATCCCCTTGGTTTGCTTTTTTGGGGCAGCCATGAAGCCTAATGGAAAGATCACCTTACCACTCATGGAGGAAACAGAGCCCCAACACACAACTCTGATAATCGAGTTCATCGTTCTCATGGTCAGCTCCTTATATAATGCAATCATTGGCTGACTAATGCTACACTCTTTGAAGGCACTAGTATCTTCATACTACTTAGTTATGAAATTCCTAATGGGTCACGGAATCCGAGTGGTCACAGGAGATCGGTTGAAGGGAAAATGAAGGAAAACTACCTATGGAAGGGCATGGCCTTAGATATGAAGAGAAGAGTAGCTAAAGCCAACCTATAGAGGACCTCGCCGCTATGCCCCTAGACAAGGCCGGCCCCCAAAAGATTGTACAAATTGGGTCCCTCCTACTAGAAGATGTACACTTTGAACTAGTAAGCTTTCTCAAATCCAACATCGAGGTACTTGATTGATCTACTACTAACATGCCAAGAATTGATCCCTTGGTCATGACTTACAGGCTAAGCATAGACTCGAGCTATTAGCTAGCTTGACAGAAGAAGAGGAACATCACATTGGAGTGATAGAAGTTGATTGGCAAAGAAGTGGACAAGTTAGTTAATGTGGTTATGATAAGGAAGGATAATGGGAAATGGTAGATCTGTATTAACTTTAAAGATCTAAATAAAGCATGCCCTAAAGGTAGCTTTCCCTTGCCGAGGATTGGTTGCCTCATCGATGCTACTGTAGGGTAAGGGCTCCTCAACATTATGGGCACCTTCTTTAGCTATAACTAGATAAGGATGCACATGGATGACAAGGAGAAAACAACCTTCATCATGGATCATGACACATATTGCTACAAGTGGTGCCATTTTGGTTAAAGAATGCTGGAGAAACTTACCAAAGATTGGTTAACAAAATAATCAAGAAACAAATCATCCAAAATGCCGAGGCCTATGTCTTAGACCTCAAAGAGGTCTTTGGCATCCTCTAGAGATACTAGATGAAGTTGATTCCAACCAAGTGTGCCTTTAGGGTGATCTTAGGAAAGTTCCTTGGATTTATGGTGACATAGAGGGGCATTTAAGGCTAACCCTGAGAAGATCTGAGTTGTCCTCAACATGGAATCTTTGAGGTTGATCGAGGAGATACAAAAATTCATTGGCCAAGTATCAGACCTTAGTAGATTCATGTTTCAGACAACAATTCAGTATATTTTCTTTTGGGTGACCAAGAAGCTGAAAGACTTCTACTGGACAAATGACTATCAAAGGCCTTGGAGGAGATGAAAATGTACTTGACCTCTCCACCTATGCTGAGTGAGTTGAGCCTAGGAGATCTTTACTTGTACTTGTCGATAGGTAACAAAGTGAT